ATAAGAAGGCAAGGGAGGGTGAGAAGGTATAAGTTCGCTACTCGCAGAAGGTGCGATACGAGAGTGAGGCCAATGGCTAACTGTTGACGGATTGAGCCTCCGGTCAGGAGGATAGAATGTGTGTTGGAACGACTCGGATGCGGGTGATTGGCTGAGGATTCGATGGACGGTGTTCCCTGTGCCGGGCCAAGCGGGATGTTCAGAGGAACTCGGTGGTGGTGGTATGTGCCCTATCAGAGTCTAAGTAAGACGCTCAAGCAAGGTTCCCGAGTCATTACTGACCTCGGTGCAAGGAGAGGCTCGTTGCAGGAGACTCAGGATATGCTATGATTGGGGTGCCACCAGGAACAGGAGCAGCGATATATGTGGGGAACAAAAGAGAAGAGAGGGAGACGGGATGTAAAGGAGAGGGCATTGGGGTTTGGCCGGCAGAATGCGGGACATCCGTGCCAGGTTGATCCGGGGGCGAATTGCCTCTCTCCGTCTTAACTTGACGGGGATCGATGTCCAGCCTCCGGCTTCGGCGATTAAACTCAAGCCCCTCGCATTGTGAACGAGTGTTGGATCGTTTGGGAGGAACGACGATTGGGGATGAGCACTCTGTGTCTGATGTAGAGCGTGAAGAACGCTTGAGACGTAGTTTTCGTCTCCATGCATTTGGAGGGGCCTCTTGAATTGGAGGCTGAGACCCGTCAAGCCAGAAGTTGTACAAAAGAGGGGGCTCGCTATGGGGGGTGGCGGTCTCTGTCTCCTGGCGCTGACCAACACCGCCTTCTGAAAGCTGAAACGTGAAGGGATTGGCACGAAAAGTGTTACACATGGATCTCATGTGCGCACGCTCTGATGCTTCAATGGTTTCCCTCCTTTCCGAGAGCACTGGGCTCGACGGGAGGTCGTCCAGGAATTCTTCGAGTAGCGAATGCTCTTCGAGAAATGCTGGACAGTCTAGGTACTCGTCCACTTCGTCCATAGTTTCTGGTGAGGATACAATATTTTTTCAAGAACGACAGCAAGGTTCGAAGATATACCCGAGTTGACGTGGAAGCATCAGACAGCGGATTGGTGAGCAAGTGTGCGACAGTAGTAATGAATGGTAGCCAGGAATGTCGCTATGAGTCGTAATCAGAAAGGAGACACGCTTTGAATATCAGTAGCTTGGGTGCCGCCATGGGGTTTGGGTTCTTGGGAAGATAAGCTCTAGTAACGCATGAAAAGATTTTGGTGGAATCTTTAGGCGACGAGATACCGACCCCTTTACCGGAACCTGGTACGGCACGAAACCATTCTGATTACCCGAACGGAACCCCTCCTCCAGCGAACCAATCATGCACCATCTTGGCAGTTAAGAGCCTTTTTGTGGCCATCAGAAACATCCCAAACAGGAACAGCCAATGATCACCCAGTGTAACCATGCAAGTGCTACAGAATTTGAGGGAGGCACAGTACCGAGTACCTGAAACGAGTTTTCGAAGCTAACATTTCGATCGCACACACGGGAAGTCACATAAAGTTGTGATGGCAAAGGGTCCTGCTCAGAACGAGAATTCTCAGATAGTTCTCCCTGGCGACAAATTCTGGAGGAAGGCGGCTTTCACTGTATACAGAACGACTCTAAGGACTCTGCAAGCGAACTTGAAGCTGCGACAGTAGGTTGCGGGGCTTGTTCAAAGGGACTCGCATTGATACATGGATGACAAGCCAATTGGATGCACAGTTCTAAACTGGTTCATTTCACCAACCCTGGCCTCGCTTGAGCAGCCAGCAGAGCGCATGGGTTGTGGCCGAGCCAATGAGGCGAAGCAGTGACATGCCGCAAATGGTCACAGTCACAACCCCTCTTCTGAACGAACCACTCAAACACCTCCATTTGGGGGAATAGGCATTGGTGAATGGCGCCCAACAGGGACGAATGGGTTTCAGTCAACCTCTCCAACTTTTACGCTCTGTTAAACTCATGAAATATGGCCCACCAATTTCGACCATCGATCCAAATCAATTTCACGTTGCTTTGCACATTAACATTGTTTCTTGCGGGCCTGACACCACGCCGCAACTTTCTGAGATATTATTTATAAGACTTTCTGCACCCCTGCCATGCTCACCATCAAGTGCGACAAGACCCTTATTATGAACTCCTTTCTCTACACAGACGTCGTCAGCCAACGTTGTGCGGGTGATGAGCTCCTATCTGAAATCGAAGCCGCAATAGACGCCAGTCAAAGACGCACGATATTTCTTTATCGATTATTAGATAAAGTGATACAGGTTGAGTGGCTATCGTTCGACAAATGATTTCCAGCGTGGCTAATGGATGTGTATCAAAGCTACAGTGTAGTATTCGTCATCCCGCCACCAGCCCTATTGATAGCCCTGAATTCTCCGCGAATGCCGATGCAAGCCCTCCGTTGATGTGCTGTTGAATTGATGATTCTAAAGCGTCCACTCTTAGGTATGCAGCACATCGGTACCCCGCACAGAAGTAGATTGGATGGCGGTGAGTAGGGCGATTCATCTCTCGTCACGCCCAATATGGATGATATTATACCGGGTCAGGGCTTCGAACCGTCAATAGAGCCCGGAACGACACCCGAAGACCCAGCGCCATGTGAGCAGTACGAAGAGCCTGCAGTCGATTGGGACAATTGGAGTCCTGACTTTGACGATTCCAATTCCGAGTACGAGTACGACAGTATCTGACGATGGGATTCAAATGTCTCCGAAGGTATACACCAGCGCCAGCCATCTGATCACCTGGCTTTTCTCGTTATCAGCGTAACTCCTAGTTTCGTGGCTGCGCTGCCCCAAGAGGAGCCTCCTGGAAGAGGACACCCAGTAGCACTATCGATACCGATTCCTAATATTCTGAGTCTGGCTCTTAGAAACCTGAGTGTCATTCTTGTTACGTTATGAACCTTCAGCGAACTTGTGCAATTACATACATTCCACTCGATCGGGACGATCGTGGTTTTGCAATAACGATTGCAGGTCAGGACTGGTGAGGTAGCGAGTTTGCGCAGATTAATGTCCGCGGGGCCGATGCTCTGCACGGAATTGCAATTTGTTCCTCAACTGGACATAACCGCCGCGGGTGGAAGGATAGCATACATTCTACGACCTGCAGCAATACCTTGATATAGCAGTGATCAAGTCGATTCGCGCCACCCATTGCCGAGATTCCCTTCGCTGTAGTAGCAACATACTAACTTCTCGCCCTGACATACTTACTACCGGGCGTCAAGGTTCCCAGATGCACGAACACTAGCTTCAAGTTGAGATGGAATCGTCCTCATTGCAACTGTAGTACTGAGTACTGTACTGGGAATATCCAACTTGTCAAGAGCTGAGGACGAGCTCGTCAGCGTTACCAGTAACTAGAACAACTGAGTTGTATGATCTGATTTAACTGTCAAAGGAACGAAGGGGAATCGATGTGTATGACTGGCGAGCTGTCGTCACTACGATATTCAAGACTGCCGAATGCGACGCTCAACTTAGATAGTCATGAGAAGCTTGTTCGTAGCGAAACGACTAAGATTTATTCCGCCAGTGGAGCCAAAGAGGTTCATGAACATGCTTCATCCGGTTAGACGGGCCAAATGATAGACACAAGTAATGATGCGCACGTACACGCTGGTCGGGGTTACCGTTATTATAACCGCCTAAGTGAATCAGCGTCCAAGCTTAGGGTGGTTCTCTTCTGATAGTCTTCTGCAGTTTTTTTTGGCGTGTAGGAAGATGCATTTTTGGGGTAGGAATTGCGCAAGGAGATCGGCCGAGCTAATGTGGAGGCCATTCCTCAACTTCATCATTGCGCACTTCCAAGGAGCATCATTATCGTATCCATATTTGGCCTCCCAGCATCCCGTTGCATGGGGAAATATACACTCGTGTGCGTTGTATTTGCTCAGATGCGGAGCAATGACGATAGGATCACATAATCGCATTGAGGCTGCATGAATGAGTTATGAAAACGATTGGCCAACATCTAGCATACACATATAATCTTGCTCTCCGCATCTCCCAGCCCGCTCGAAACGTGTTCGCTCACGTTAGCGCATTGCAGCGGGCAGTCATAAAGCCCAGCTTCTTGATCGGTTTCTAAAATCAACCCAGAATACCACGAGCGAAGGACCTGGAAGTGCCGCTTCGTTTCTAGCCTATCTATTTGAGGATACGCGGCGACCAACGTGTTCGTGAAGGCGACTAAAGTCCGCAGAACTAAACTTCAGGGGAAAAAAAAATGAGAATGGCCAATGTTGATTTGACAGAAAATCCAGATTTTAATGCTTCGATTTTCAAATTGAGACGCTCCATTGGACTGAGGCATCTGAGTCGAAGCTAGTGATCCTTGATCTGGCAGTCATAAGCCCATAATCAGCCACAACCGAGTGGCTACACTAACAAAACACCACACAAACTCCATGACGCCCTGCTGCAAACGCAGCGGCAGGAACAGTGGTACGTTCAATCCCTGCGAAACTAGACATGGCACGGCAGCATGGCGAGTCATGGGGGTCGTATGTAATGAGTTTTCAGAGAAACAAGGGGTCATTTCATCTTGAACGCCAGTTGCGCTTGAGACATGCACCAAATCAAGAATCTTTGGTATGTGAGCCCCTTATCGTGGTAGTCTTAGGTTCTAGAATTGCGGAGCTGGCACCATAGAGTCGCCCACGAGGGTCTGTGGGATAAGTGGAACATCAAAGTCCCTTACCGATTGCGAAGGCCATGTCCACGGACATCAGAGGGATCAATCCGGCTTGCCACATGAATCAGAAAAACGCGTCGATCTTTGGTGTGCCCCCTTCACGAGCGAGGCTTGGGGAATGGGAATGTGGTTATCACCCCAGAAGGGGAGAAGAAGAAGAAAACAGAACTGTGCGAGAAGCAATCACGATCATACATTGATGCCATTCCGGAAACAAGGCGCATTATCTTCTAGTGGTGAAGTCTACATAGCGCCCCGTGACGTCTCAAGACGAGAGCTGAGGGTTGGACACTCACAACGAATGCGGGCCGAATAGCCATTCATTGGCTTTCTCAATCGCATTGGCCTCCCCATTCCCATTCCCCAAAGCTTCAAACTTCTCTAACCCATAAGCTCGTCGGGAGAGCGAGCCTTCATTGATATCTTGAAGACTTCCGCGACCTATAAATCCAATCTCACCTTCTACGCTCGAAAAGTCGTATGGTCGATATCCAGTAATGAACGAAGCCCGCTGGGCTGCAAGGTATTCGGCACTACAGATTACTGTGTTGGGTTTTTTTTGACGCACCCAAGACGAATTTGTAAACCTACTTGTTTACCGTTACGGGGACAGCTGGAATGTACATAACGGACGAATCGCCCTTTCCACGGTGTTGAGACTGTGAAATAACTGGTGACGAGATGATCGGGGAATCTGTTTTGAGAGGTACCAACCTCTACAGCGTGGATAGTGTCGCAATGCCAATACACTTGGTCTCCAGGATCAACCTGTGTGAAATTGATGGGTTTAACCAGTTAACGCACATCCATATACTATCTCTTACGGGAGGGACGGATGTCATTGTTTCCGTTAATTCAAGGTGCGGGTGGGTTTCATCAGACAGTTCTTGGGCTTTGAAGATTGGTCCCAAAGTTAGTTGGTGGGGTCTCTTCATGAAGTTCCTTGCAATGAAGACGTACCACGACCGGGAACACTGCCAGGAAAGGCTGTTGATTCCAAATCGAGTGCCCAGTTCTCTGCGGCAAGATATCCGTTCTTATTTCCACCAAACTCAGATGCGGTACGAATGGGTGAGAAGAAAGCTCGAAGAATCAAATAGGCTGTTGATAGAAGTGTGTTAGGATAGACTTGAAGCGTCCCTTCATTGGCGGACGTTGACGACATCGAGACCCATCCTAAGAACGCCTATTCTGTGTCACGTCAAGTATGGAAGCTTATCCCCCTCACCTTGCCATGGCCGGAAAACATTGCACTAGATTGAGTGAGTCTTGGTGTTACCGAAGAGCCATCGCCAGCGACACGTACCGCACTGGGCCCTGCGTAAATATCCATTTTGGCCTCAATCCTGTGCGTCGCGTCAAATGCGTCATGCGACTTCCAGTTGGGAGAAAGGATTCTCGAGAAGCACTTTCGGTACGCTTCTCGACAATCGTAAACCTTTTAGTCGCCCCATCAGGATAAGTCAACGCACTGTTGTCTTCCCACCTCTCCACAGAGCCACCATCGATATGAGGACCTAATATTACCAAATGGTTTCAATACGCGTTATTCAACTCCATCGTGATACTGAAACAAACCTAAGGCAAATGTCATATCACCGGGAAAGCGGATTCTCAAACGATCGAAGTATGAGATAGGGTTCCCAAGGCTGATCTCCGCGTCCGCGTCCGCTCTCCATTGGGTAAGTAGGAATGCTTGGGTCTTCAATATGGCTGGATGAGTGCGTGCCGAGACTTGGGGACGCGAATGATAGAACTCCCAGACTTGAGGATCATCCTTTGGAAAGCCTAGACAATACAATAGCACGTTATTATCGTTGGTTGTCCAGGACATGAAAACAATCATACCTCGAGCTCGATCACGATTATCGGCAGCGTACCGTTTGATGGACTCTTTCCAACCTAGCGCTTGCTGTACGGGCAGAGCGAATTGAGTGTCGGCGACTCCCCAGAGTACTGCTGGGATGTACCTCTTTTGTCACTGCCCCTTTCACTATGACAGTTCCGACGCTGCGAACTTGTTCCAAGATGTCAGGATCGATTCTCCCATTCTCGATATCACTAAACAGTAGCCGGGGGATGATCTTAATCCACGCAAGGGAATTGAATTTTTTGAGTCTAACAGCTTCAGAATGGGTGGAACGAGGGAAATTGAAAGTTTCTCACCTTTCCACCTTGTTCTTTGATCCTCGCATTAGTGTGCTTTAAACAATCAAGGACTTCGTTCCAGTTCTTCAAAAGAACCTCTTGGTCCCTGAGTCCAGGGACTAGTTCCTTCTTCAGCTCAGAGTATCGCTGGGGCAGTTCTAATATTGGAGCCCCAGCCAGAGACGAAAACGCGTCAGAGATGTCGCTCCCCGGCTTAGCCTGTTGATTAGAGTAGCGATTTGGACGGGGTCCAGCGGAAGCATACTCTCGTCGGGAGTGAGAAAAACTCTTGACAGTCGCCATGCCTGGGTGAGAAACATGCCAGAGGAATGAATTTGATGGAAGGGGTCCTAGACATTCGCGCACGAATAAGAGTCCAGGAATCCGGGCACTTGAAGTGACCATGCACATTTCTTTATTCTTCACTTATCCCTGTGCAATGCTGAGGGTAGTAGGCCAGTCTAAGCCGGATGTTGGTTGTGGAATCCCTGGCTGCCGGAGTTTCCAACCTCCATAAGATGGAGGTGGCTGTTCGTGATTTCATTTGATCGTACCCATTCAAACAGCACAATTTTCCCTGTTCGCCCCCTTTATGCCCTGCATGCACCCTTCCTTTGCACACCCCGGCGCATTATGGTTTGCGTAAGTATCCATCACGCGCTTATTTTTGTTTTGCCCGTTCGGCCGTTCCTCACTTTCCATCAATCACCACATGAACATCGTTCATACACAGCTGTCTTTGACCAAGCTTGAAGGTGGGGCCATGATCGATCAGATCTATCTTTGCCCTGGAAAAACGCCTCAGGACCTCGTGGGATACCGGATCTAAAGGGATTGATTCCCGGCGAGAAATGGATGTGTCACTGTGGCGCACTCAACAAGGAAAAAAATTCATAGAGACCAAAATGCATCTGAGTACAGGGAATGTCGGGTGCCAGTTCTATGCGAATGTGATGAAATATGTGGAAAAATCAAGGTGAAGGGTGAATGACGTGCCGTGAAATGTGATGTTTTTTGCATGGTATCATAGTTGCAAATACCGTATTCCTGGACAATCGAAGTGATCCTTACGCATCAGCTGCATTACATTGCCGCAGTGGCAGCGGGAGGCACCAGCACAGCAGCATGTTCAAGCGGCCAGCCTTCTGCGAGAGCGGGGTGAGGAAACACACAGGCTCTCACCGGCCCGGAGAGCAAGCTAAGCTACCCCCTTACGATTGGTGCCCACAACACTTTGATTGACAGTAATCTTTCCCTGTGTCTGGAACTTCACTGTCTATGCGCTGAGGGCTGCAAGCTCTGCCATCCGGTTTGAAGGGAACCCTCACAGCACTGTTCAGCATCATGTCAAGCGCATGTTTCGATTGCCGAGCTGTCGCGACCTGGGAATAACCATGCGTCCGACTCCAAGGCAACATATAGATATAGATATATATCTCTAATTCAACAAAAAGCCATGACTGGGCTTGAAAGAAGTTGTGGAGCCTCATAGTGTACAACTGAAGTGCGCTAGCGCGCAGCATAAAGAGCACTCAGTCGCAATCTGCCTTCTCCTCCTTCGAGTCACTTGGCTTGTCGTCCACCAGCCCCAAGCTGAGCTCATGCAACCATGCAGTGAACCGTGACTGATCAAAGTTTCCCTCCGAGTCAAAAAGGGAAGTATAAGGCCGCTCCTGTTTGTTGAGCTGTGTGCGTCTAATAAGCGTCTTCCCACTGTTTGAGGAGCGGACGTAAGTGAGTGACAGACAGTAAAGAGGCGAGGATGAAGGAGACAGTGATGTTTCGGCATCTATGGTTATCTTTTCTGTTTCGATCTGTGGCGTGCAAAATAAAGAAATAGGAGGTGAGATCTTGTTCGAGCCAATATGCAGGATATAGCATACACGGCTGGAAAGTGTCTTCCTCTTCCCAACAAAGATTGTTTTCCCTTCAACAAAGTACGTGTATGCAGCTTGTATAGCCGTCAAAATGGTGTAGCTGCAGCCCAAAAAAAATGCGGCTTTCGTCAAGCGGGCTTAAGCTGCTCCGAGAAGTCCACGGGACTCACAGTGTGACGCCGAGCCATATGAGAGGCTTGGCCTTCTCGAACTCCGTTTTCCACCCATACAATCCTGTAGCAGCCGCGATGAGCACAGATGTCCACCCTAACCCCAGCTTAACATCTGTATGCGTATATTGGACTTTGTACTGGTCTGGCCGAGAGAAGAACTATAAAGGGCAATCCCCTCAGATGCATAGTGAATACATGGACGATAAGTAACCTCACCCTTTTGACAGCGTCATCACAAGCAATTTTCAATTCTACAGCATTTGCATTGTTGACCTTGACAGGATCGAAAGTTTCCTGCACTAGAGAAGTCACAGGTGCAGGTGGAACCTGTTCCCCAGCTTCCTTAGCAAGGCCGTTTGTGGGTGCTTTTCTCTTTGGCATTAGGCAATGACTTGATGACGATGCAGTAATGTAATACAATTTTGTAGGCACATGATTACCGTCGTGAGGCCGTGGGAACTGTCTCCGCCTGTCATTATATTTTCCGCTTCCCAAGGCTTAAATGGCTCCTCGCCCTTTCTCGCAAGAGACTTTGCTCTGGTTTCCTGTACATGAAGTTTGCACAGTATTTGGAAGAGGCTCAGGTTGGCAAGATTTTCTTTTCCGATGCCAGGCCAGTGCTAACATCCGCTGTGGCTTCGGCCAGGCACCTGAGTGGAAACGAGCCTACATGTGAGGGTTGTCTCTGGGGGGCTTACATGTCCATTTCCTTTCGGAGCCATCTCTGATTGATATGCCTGGCGACTTCGATTTGTCTAGTGATTACCGAAAGTTGAAGGAATGTATCAACGAATCAAGGTGGCCGCGACGTTGCAAGATTCCCCTCAATCTGCACCCCCTCCTCTACCCCTGCCCAGTGTTATCCCGAAGTTGGGGCTCCCCGCATGCAGGGGCGTCCTGTCTTGCTACCGCTCCCCTCATGCCCATCAACGAATCCATTGAGCATCCATTCGCTGCAAACCGTCCGCATATGCGCACAAACCAGCATTTCGTATCAATTCCATTCTCAGCTGGATCAACTACTTCCTCAACCCAGACGGATCCCGATTCTGCAATTTTTTCTCCCCCGGCCTCTCCGTATAGAGTGTCGTTCCAGGAGCCCGCCCTCAGCGCCCGAGTTCCGTCTTACTCCGGCCGGACGTTCACCCTAGAAATGGCGCGTTCCTGAGGCTTCCTTCGCTGGCAATAAGCTCGAACTGGATTCAAGAAGAGAAAACCGATGACGAGACGGATACAAATTTTCTTCCGTCACCCATTGATCTTCCTTCACCCATCATCCAGGATCCCATCGGCGAAGGTGGTCAATTCCCAGCTCGTGGACATAGTTTTTTCTCTTTTCCGAATCCAAAAATAGGGACAAATGAGAAGGTAAGGGCGATTACATTGTTCCTGTCTGCCTTTTTTGTGTTGAATCCATTGCTAGCGCTTCCCGCTTGATCGTACGGGGCTCCCTCCTATGACTCCGTTGGGCTGGGTGCGTGCCCGAAAGAACACTGATGCTCACAGCGGTGAGTGGACCCGTCTTCCGGATGTGGATACTCCACTTAGCCATATTCAGTCGCCCCGGATGCTACACTGAGTGAAATCATGGCTACCATTGTCCCAGGATCCCCTGAAGCACGCTTCTTTGATGTTCTTGATGAAGAATTGCGAAAGGTCAATATGTTCTTCAAGGTGCACGAGCGAGAGGCTATTGTCCACGCTGCTGTCCTCCAGAGACAACTCAAAGGGTTGAAGGATCACAGGCGACTTTTTCATGTGGGTGGCTATGCTGTTCATAGCTGATGCCGACCTAACTCACCGCTCACGCAGGAGAAATTCCCGGTTGCGCATTCGCCTTGGATTGTCCCAACTGACTTCCGCGGGACTGTTGGGCAGCTCCTTCCGCCGTACAACCTTCAGCGTGACAACGCGCTGAAGGGACACCGAGGGAAGTTCACCAAACAATTTAAGAAACCTAATGAGGAGAAACTGCCCATGGATCCCGATGACTATGTAAGGAATAAGCGGAAGTTGAAAAAGGCTGTCCTTGAGCAATATCGGTATGCCTCTCCATGAACCATTTCCACGTGTGATGACCTAGCGATGGTGCTTCAGCGGTCTCGAATTACTGAACAATTATCGAGTTTGTGGTTTTAAAGTCGAACTTCATCATCTGCATCTGAATGCTTCGAACTCTAGATCCTCAATTTGACCGGGTTCCGAAAGGTACTCAAAAAGTTTGAAACCGTGACAAAAATTCCAGTACAAAAACATACATGGCGGAAAGGGTTAGTCAGTCAGTTGCCTTCTGGGGAGGCTTCGGGTTGAATATGTTGTGTTAAGGTCGATAAGTGCACCTTCGCAGGCGATTCGCGAATATTAGCCATCCTGAAGGAGGTCGAAGATGCATTTCCGAAATGTTTCGGTGAGAGTTTACGTTCGAACTTCAAGGCAGAATAGTTCTTGCCTAACGTCAGTGCAAGCTAATGGCGATCATAGAAGGGCTCGTGTTCGTCTTCGAGCGACCAACGTGCACAAGACAAATCACTTAACGACTATTTCCGCTCTGGTGCATGTATTGGTCTTGGCATTCCAGCGGTTTTGCAGGGTCTCCACCTCTGTGAGTAACGACTCGCCAGTTTGACTGATAGCTTTCTGAGCCGAGTTTGTTTATAGCGTTCCAAAGTGAGACAAGGAACGCAATTCCAGAATGGGAAGACCTCCTTCAGGCTTACGGCGCTCTATTCATTCTCGTGCTATTTCCTTTACTCATCAGTTCCAACATCTTTGTTTGGACCCGATTCCGCATCAACTATGCATTTATATTTGGTACGAGCGATCTTCATCCATTTCCAAATATCCTCACCATCTCGTTCCCGTAGAGCTCGACATGCGCAGTACAATCAACCCGCGAAAGTACCCAGAAGTTCCTGCATTCCTTTTCTTAACGTTGAGTTATTCGTTCTGGCTCTCATTCGCACGTTTCGGTGCGGTGCTGCCAAACACATGGCTGCTAGGTGAGTGACGATGATCGCACCAGAATTCATTGGTTTTGATGATGGTGAAAGTCTGGATTATTTTTGCTACGGCGTTCATGGTGAATCCTTTACCTATGTTCTCAAGATCGGCTCGATATTGGCTTGTACGAAAATGCGGGAGATTGTTGTTGCCTGGGCACCGGCGCGTTGATGTAAGTCGGTTGCACCTCGATGGAAACACATGCTAATTGGAATCTCTTCGTTTGATGTTTAGTTTACTGGTAAGTTTGTCTATGTTGATATATATATATATATCATTCGGATGACTCCCTGCTAGATTTCTGGCTCGGAGACCAGGTCGCCAGTCTCACCTATACGCTTGGGTCGTTGGGTGTCATATTTTCTGTCTTGACTCCCAAGCCGGGGGTTCTAATATCTCTGGCATCGCCCACCAGTGGGGCTTGACTTTTGCCCTCAGCGCATTTCCATTCGCCATCCGGTTCATGCACTGTATCCGACGCTATGTCGATAACCTATCTCTTCACCTCATTAACGTAAGTCCTGAGCGAGTCAACTTTCGGCTCCGGCCCCTGGCTCATTTCCACTACTCATAGGCTGTAAAGTATTTATGCAACATCGCCTACTACTTGTCGCTCTCTCTGTGGAAAAGCCGAGGGATGCCCCTCCATGGGACGATGTTTCCCATCTTTATGGTGGTTGCCTTTATGTGTACTATCTTCACATGTTCATGGGTAGGTTTGCGATATTTCAAGTCTTGCCTGCCTGCCTATACGATACCTAGATTTCTATGGATTGGTC